TGTGGACTCAAGTCTCTCAGCTTACACCTTTATTAGAAGCCTCTCTGCACGTCTTACCCCCCAGACTAATAAAAAAACAATCAATACAATCAAGACGCAGCCGTCCGACTGTCACGGGATTCAACCTTTCTGCGAGCACAGAGAGATCGCTCTTCCCCTCTGAGGTCTTTGAAAAGGTTTCACAACATAATATGACAAATAAAGAAATGATTAGAACATTCACCTCACTCACCTGCAGCCACTGAAAGAGTTTGTTCACTGCCGTTCTTTTGCAGCTGGAAATCACGCAATGTGCCCAAAAGGCAAAGACGGCAACAACGAGTTGAAGTGTCCCGCCATCTGTTGAGGCACTTATTCATGAAACACTCGTCCCACGGGCCGTGTTAGAAGGTAGCAGTCTACCTGGGTGGATTCATGCGGTTTGGGTCCGTGTTGGTCTGAAAATGACCTCGAGGTCCTGATCTTTTTCAGCGACAGCCATGCATCATCATGCCTGCTCGTGTATTTCAGCATCAGCGTGTGTACCTGGTTGCTAAGTACAACATGTGAAACATAAAGTCAGCTCTCAGGGTTTAAACCCGCAGTGTGTGCCAGCTGCTGACAAACACGTTTCAGTCTCACCTGGAGCAGGTAACAGCAGGACGGACCTCTCTCTCACACACACACACACACACACACACACACACACACACACACACACACACACACACACACACACACACACACACGCGCGCGCGCACATAGCAGCAGCGTGCTAGCGTGGCTGCAGACAGGTGTCAGCCATCTTTAATGTTTATGACAGAGCTCTTTCTCTGTATGCTGATGATGTCACGCTGTTATTAATGAATCATGTGGGGAAGCGGGAGCTAAGGTTTCTCCTCATAAAACAAACAAATCAGCCCGAGCAGCTCGCGTTGCACACAACAGGAGCTCAGGGGCCTCCGTACTGACAGACTGCTAACTGAACATGAACTTTAGACTCGAACATCGGCTCTGTGTCGAGACGCCGTGTTTGCTTTGGACCTGTACGGCTGTAAAATAACATTCTCTCACACTATTTAAGCCATTTGTTAATTTCTCGTTTCCTACAAGCAGCTTTATTTTCTTTAACCACGACCGCCATCATTTCCTAATCTCAGCTGAGTGTTTATTACTAATCACCATGACAACACATACTTTAAATTTATAACAACTGTTCTGTGTGAACTTCAAGAGCAAACGAGATTATAGAAGATATTCTACCTCAATAAAACTCGACCTGGAAATAATTAAACGTACATGTCTATGTTTATCATACCAGTTAGAGGCAGAATGTGCGACATGTTCCACATCAATATATCATAAATCCAGTCTATCCTGTGTAAATGTGTCTCTGTGTCCTGCTGGCTGTGTTGTTGTCAGAGTCGTGTTTACATGGACGGGACAGCCGGCTCCTCCCCTTGTGTATAAAAGCTGTTTTAGTGAAGGACTAGAGAGAAGAAGAAGAACATACCCACCTATTATTTGGATGTTAGTAAGAGTTTTTAGATCACGCTCATTCTGTGTCAGTTTACATGCAATGTGAAGCTACGAGCTAACTAAAGAGCGCTAACATTAGCATGCTAACACAACAATGCAGGACACAGGTGATTGCAGCTTGAGCAAAGGATAAATTTGTCCGCCGCTTAAGCTTGACTCTTTTGATGCTTTAATGAGAATGTTTGGCTTTACATCAATGCTACATGTAGTTTGACTAATACACAATATGAACTAAAGAGCAGAGAAGAACAGAAAATAATAAGAAGCCGTTTCATTACATGTACAGAGATCACACTGGTTGCATGCTTACGGTCTATGCCTGTCGAAGAACTGAAAGATCTTCCTCAAGGTGTGCTCCCAGGCATGTCAGTCATCTCATGAAGAGGGATGTTCTGACTGTTCCGAACTTCCTAAACTGCTTCTGTCTTCATGTAGTGTAGAAATATGAATCTTGTGAATTTGCACTCATGATGCTGCAAACCCTTTGATTTAAAGTTACCGTTGTAGTCCTGAGTTATTCTTGACCTTAAAGAGGCAGAAAGAAAGCAAAGTAAAACCATGCAAAAGACATGAAGGCAACCTGAAATCATGAAGACATTAAAGAACAGAAAAAAAAAATTAAGGGCCTGCATCTTCTAATTGGTTCCTGTGGTATCAAAAAAGGTATCATTATCTTTTTATTTTCACTGGCATCATATCGAAGCTGAATTCTGGTATCGTGACGACCCTTCTCCATGAAACTTTAATAAAATACTAAAGTTACAAGGAATTAAAACCACTTTGTTCTCTTTCTGTGGTCATTAAATATACACACATGCACACACAGTCTCACAGCTGGGTTCATGCAACTGTATCATCACTCTCAGAACAGACATGAAGTCGGAAAAAGATTCAGGTTAGATTCTTATCCCCACAATTTCTTCCTGCCGTCTTCCAAGACTTTTTCTCCAAATCACAACAAATTAATTGAGCTCATGTAAAATAATTAGTCTTTTAAGGTTCCTTAAACGGGATAACGATTAAAAATAATCTTTGTATTGTGTTGAAGATAAATCTCTGACATGTTTGAGTGAATGCAAACTGTCTGGTCCCGATTTTTGTGAACACTTAGTTACAAAGAGGTAGAAGGAGTCTGACAAGAAGTGTCAAAGTGTCAGCTCTGGTTTCAAAGCAGAGAGAGAGCGTTCATGTCTACCTGCCCTCTGGCTCACATTCATCTGGCTCACATTCGCTCTATTAGGACACAGAGTCTCTCCCAGGTGAGGACAGGTATGGCAGTAATGTGACTGAGGGCAGCAGGTTACTGAGTCGAGCACAGAGTGAGCGTGTTCCCCGGATCAAACTGACTCAGGGTCGGCATGTGGCAGCGTCGCCTTTGACAGCACAGGTATCCTCGGGGTGAAGAGGAGCGTCGTCTCTGATGGACAGGTTGCTCACACCTGTGTAGTCAGATTACCTGGATGATAAGACGCGAGAGAAGCAGCGTGTTTTCAGAAGATGTCTCACAGCTCGGTGCAGTGGGCCCGGAGCAGAGCTCTGAGGGACACCGGCAGCAAACACTCACTATTTATCTCACTTTTACTCGACAGAGCCAAGAATGTGACGTGTGTGAAGACAGGCATTCCTGAGAACGAGATCAAATCTGCAGACGTGTTACGAGACAGCACTGCCTCCACTGTAAACTCGATCTCACCGGTTCTTTACTGTAACTCACGCTCGCACTAAACGTTTGTTCAATTAATATTCAGTATTTTCTTCATCATCAACAAACTGAGGTTTTCACAGCAATAATGCATGCAACGCTTGGCAGCATAACAAGAGTGAGTGCTGTCAGATGGGGCCCTCTTAAGGAGGTTCCTTACTGTCATTGCAAACACATTTTGAGATAAACTACCGTGGTTGCAAGTTGTTCAGCACTTGGGGGTCCCCTACTGACATGGGGCCCCAAGCAGTTACCTGCCTTGCCTGTTGACAAGAAGCACCTTCGCTCAAAGTTAATCAGGCAACCAGATACTGAAACTGATCCAGCTGACAGGTCATCGGACTGATACCTGGTACTGATCCTAGCTAACAGGTCATCAAACTGGGACTTGGTACTGATCCAGCTGACAGGTCATCAAACTGGGACCTGGTACTGATCCTATCTAACAGGTCATCAAACTGGGACCTGGTACTGGTCTTAGCTAACAGGTCATCAGACTGGGACCTGGTACTGATCCTAGCTAACAGGTCATCAAACTGGGACCTGGCATGCAGTTTAAGAGCTCCTTGTTGGGATGTTTGCATATTAATATATTGCTGTTAGTGTTTTGTGAAGCCCTTCCTGTATCTGATCAAACCTAACGAGCTGTGAGCCTGCTCTGTCACCTTGTCCTCTGAATCACCTGTGGATTGTTTGTCGGTAACGTGGAGGCCAAGCGTTGTCAGGCGGCAGGTTTCATCGTGCAGAAAGCTGTTGACATCTGTCTTGCTCTGTAACTTCCAGCTGACTGAACTCAAACCATGAGCGCTCTGTGTTCGCAACACTTTTTTTTTATGATCAATTGTTTGGCAGAGCGGCGTCTGTTTGTCTTTGAGCCAGCAGCTCGACGGGGCGGAACAAAGTGACCCACTCACAGCTCACACAAAGACGACGAAGGATCTGATGCATGCTGGGTAAATATTGTAGCAGTGTGTCGGTGATGAAACAAAGTCGAGAGGTGTGTGTATTCTGACCTGCACACAGATACAGTATATCTCCAGAAGAGAAGTCAGCCTGCAGGGGACACTGGATTAAAAACCAGAGGTGTCAGTGCTTCGTACCTGAACGCGTCTGACTTCTGTGTTTAACTATCAAATGTCTTACAGGTCAGAAAGTAAAGAAGCTGCGGATAATAAGACTCAGATTAAGGGCCAAACGGTGGCTCACTTTACATTTCACTTTGGGTAAAAACAGAGTGTTAGGTCATGCTCTACTGAGGGACATGGAAGCACACTTTTATAGAAGTAAACTTTTATAGTTTTTGTTTGCATGGATATGTGATCATCAGCTGAATGTTTGCAGCACTTTGAGTCCAAGACACATTTTCCCAAAGGGTAAAATGTACTTGTGCTTTGAAATTAAATATCTGTCAAACATGTTCAATATTTATGATTCCAGGTCTAGTGCAGTGGTTCTCAACTGGTCAAACCTCAGGACAAAGCACCAACTCCTTCATGAAAAATCGTGACTCAAATTTCTGATATTTTTCAATCAATCAGATTTATTCAGTGAAGAATTGTGAAGTTTGGACCTCAGACGGTAAAAAACTAAACTGAACAAAACCTTCCTGTCCCGCTGAAAACAGCTCTGAGACCCACTTTTGGGTCCCGACCCACCAGTTGAGAACCACTGGTCTAGTGTGTGGCCAGCTTAACTCGCCTGTTTCTGTCCCGGGGGGTAAATCTTACAAACATGTTGCATCTTCAGGGTGTTTTTGATGGATAAAATCACCTCAATAGAATTCAAAGGACTGCATTTTTTATTTGAAATACCAACACCTTTCATAAGTTAGCAAATTGAAAATGCACTCTTTGTTATTGACAAAATAAATAGCAGAGCGTTGCTTATTTACACATTCAAACGACACAAATACCATGATAAACAGAAACGATCAGTGATGCTCGTTGTTTGAACGTTATGATGGGATCATTTTGTGCTCTTTAAATAGAAACGTTTGAGTCATTGAGCTGAGGAATAAATAACTTGTTGTCCATCCACACATGCAGAAGTGGATGTTTCTGAAGAACAGTAATTATCTATGGAACATTATTTACATTCAGGAACAGGTGACCATCACAATCGTCCCATAAAAACAAACGGAATAATAATGGAGCCGAATGTTTCTAAAACTCTTTCATTTGGTCGAAATCTCAGGTTTTAATTTGTCGTCCTTCTTTTCACGATCCAAGCAAAAAGTCCCATCTTGAAGTCTGTACAAATATGGGGCTCCAACAAGCCGAACCGATCTGAAAAAGCAGAATTTATTGTCTCAGTTTCAAGTGTTCTCTTTTCCTTTGGCTTCTGAAGGTCAGTCAGGTCCATTTGGAGGATTCAGTCCTTCCCTGCTTTGACCCTGATTTTTGTCTCGCAGGAGAATCCAGACGCTTGCTTGTCCTGCGTCTGCACAGTTTATGGCTTGGTAGGAAGTGTGGAAGGGGGTGGGGGGGGTTTGTTGGTACCAAAGGTGGTCTCAGGAGGCGAAGTACGAGGTCTGCATGGAGTACAGGCGGTCGATGGGGTTTCCCTGCAGCGAGTTTATATCAGGCGTGGTCATGAAGCAGTCGCTGAGACTCGTCAGAGACGTGTCGCTGTCGATGTCGTGGAAGATGGAGTCAGTACCTGTGAGGCAGAGAAGACAGGAAGTCCACTTTACTGAAACATCTCCTCTTAAAGCTCCTGAAAGCTGCATACACTTAACTCACAGCGAGAGGGCAGAAAACATGTAAACAAACTGACAGCTGCTCAGATCGCCATGCTGGATTGATAATCTACAAAATGCTACATTCTCTACATGCTAGCAGAGGCGCTGCTTGTTAACAGGCAAGACAGGCTACTACTCGGGGCCCCAGGCCAGTACGGGGCCCAACCGAGGGCTGACAAACTTCAGACCCCGGCAGTGGCTCAAAATGTGCAAATTTTGCAATAACAGCAGAAACCTCCCAAAGGCCAGGCACACACGAAAAGATTTTTGCTGTTGTCACCATGGTAATGTTTTTTGTGCTTCCTGCTTCACTCAGCTTGCTTCCTGACTGGCTAATGTTCTGTTCCACGTGACAATTCACAGAGCCCGTGCTCGGCCGTTCTCTGTGTTCTACCCACACAACAGGAGGACGTCTGATGTCAAATCGGGGGCCGCCTCGTCTTCCGAGCAGATCGTGGAAGTTAAAATCACTCCTAACACACCTCGCACCAAAGGAGAATCTGGCAAGATAATCTTTGGATCCATCAGATAGTCGAGCCTTTGCTGACTTTGGTCTTAAAGTGGGGAAATTGTAGTGTGTACCACGCTTTAGAGGGCCCTCTCTGACAGCACTCACTTTCATTGCACTGCAAAGCATTGCGTTCATTATTCCTGTGAAAACCAAAGTTTGTCAGAGTCACAGGAGAAGAGATGTTGTTGTCCTGTGCTTTGAGTCACAGCTGCTTCCTCAAACATCATCTGCACCTCTCTGCAGCTCACAGTTTATTACATAATGGGAACACTGTGGGCTCTGCTCAGATAGATGTTAAATATATTGTGGTTCAGTGTGTGTGTGTGTGTAACACAGACAGACAGCCCTCGCTCACTTTAATTTCACCGCGGTGTGTAACTGCTCTCCCGGGTGTCGCTCTCCTTTATTGGTCTGACTGTGTTTAAACGCTGACAACTTGATGACTCATCCATTTTTAATGAGCCGTCACACCTTATTGGTTCATCGTCTGCACCGCCAGTAAAACAGTAGTGAGGTTAATCTGGATGTGTGAAAAGGAGCAGAAAGAAGACTAATCTTATAATATCTGCCCCTCTTTCACAAAGCATTAATGAAAACAAAACAAAACACTTAATTCAAAAACATCAAACTCCTCATCATCATCAAATCTCACCTCTTCAACATCGCCTACAACCACTAACATTCTCAAGTCTCCTCCTCCTCTTCTTGCATTATCTCTTCTTTGTTTTGTTTGGTTGTTCTCTGTTAAGCGTCTTTGAGTACTTTGAAAAGCACAATAAAAGTCTAATGCCATCGGTTACTCTCGTGGTTAAGGTTTGTACTCGCATTAAGTTTGGGACTCAAAAGAGACGAGTAAACAAAGATTCACAGGAAGACAATTACAGACTTTCACACTTGTTTTTACTTGTGTGCAGTTTCATCCTTAAGTGTCTGCCTGAAAATAAATCCTATAAATGTGCTGCATCGTCCTCTAACAAAGTTAAAGGGCTTCAGTCTCTCCAGCATGAACAGGGTCAAAGGTCAAACCTCCACAGGTCTCTCACTGGAGAAAATTTCAGATTAAAAAGAGAATCATCTGAAGAGCGTCCACTGATCATTGGAGTCTGAAACTCACCGTATGGGTTCATGTGGTCTCCGGGCATCTGTGGGGGGGTGAGGCCCTGCTGAAAGGGGTCTGTGTTGTATCCATTGTGCTCCATGGTGACCAGCTGCTGCTGCTGGTTTTGAGGGAGGGGACCTGAGTAGGAGCTGAGCAGCCCCTCCATACAGCCTGACAACACGTCTGAAACAAACAGAGGAACAACATGATGAAGCTGTTTGTCATGGCGTTAAGACTCCTGACAAAAAGATGCATGTGTGAACGCAAACAGCCCGATGTTCCACTCAGACTTTAACCAGAGTTTCTCAAACATGACCCTGCATTCATCTGGTGTCAGAAACATCGGAAAAACAAGTGTCGGAAAATAGAAGGTGCACGTGAATCGCTACTCAAGTCGGAACAACAAATTGCAAATTTGGGAAAAAAATGAGGCACCAGACGTGACGTCAGATTCGTCATCACATGAGGGGCTAAAGATGTTTAGTTGATGTTAAGATACTTGACTAATTTACATATTTCACATCAACTTTTAGCTCAAATATAACTCTTATCAGAGTCATTCCGCACATTTTCTTCGTAGCATCCACGCTGTTTGTTGTTGTTGTTGTTGTTACAAAATTCAGACTTTCTGAAACTGAAGGCATGTGAACACACTGAAGTCAGAAGTACAACTCTCGACACTCGTGAACTGGGACCATCAGAGGAGCACCTGAATGCAGCATTATTCCCGCATTATGTCAGAGTGAGCTGATGTGAGAACACAGCAGGATATAATCAGGAGAATTCACCTGGAGCGAGTGGGAGGGGGTGGTGACGTTTATTCCCTGTGATCGCTGCACGACCATAGACTGTCTGCACGCCACCTCTACGACCTCATGGGCGGTCGTCCTGACATTTTAAGGAGCGCATGCTGAACGTGGACACGGCTTCTGACTCTACCTGGGACCATCTTTTGGTATCAACCTGTTAGCTAGCAGTACAACTGAACTTTGAACAAGTCATTTTTCAAATTGCTATTGAAGCAGATTTCAATCCCAGGTAGACCCGCCCTGACTCCTCCCCCTTTTTCTGGTCTCTTTGAACATCATGCTGTACTTTAATACTTGGAACTAGACATTAAGACCATCAACTTATTTGGAAAATGTTTACTGAGGGAATAAATCATTGGAGGAACATTTGATCATTGACTTCTCTTTGAAGCATTTTACCTCATTAAAAAAAAAACGACTGCCACCGGCCTGTTTGAACTCGTCGCAGGTTTATAACTTTGCACATTGATGTATGCATGTTAGACTACTTTCTGGTGTTGCTGCCTGTATGAATCTAAACTGAATATGGCATTACGTAAAAAGCTTTGAAAAAATCAGGATCGTCTTCCTGTGCAGCACTGAGCTCCAAACATCTCTATAGATGCAAACACAGCCTGTACATCCATTTGACGCCGTACCGCCAACCGTTCCCTTTAAACACACGCCGTCTAATCAGCTTATTGTAAATTCACTGTGTAAACTGAGCGTCTGTTTGATCTTTAAGATGTCTCTCCAGTCATGCAGGAGGCTTCATCTCATCCTAACATCGTCCTCAAACATCCCCCGTTTGCTGGTTTGCTCAGCTCATTTGGTTAACAGCAGCAGCTTCACTGTGATAAAGCTGCTGCTCTGCCAATATTGACACACAGGACGTCCCTGAACAGAGAGACGCAGCGCCTGCCAACGCGCAGAGACACTTATCTAAACTGTCTGCTCATATCCGCCGTCAGACCGCACAGACGATAAGCCTGGAGGCTGCACAGAGAATCCTCGTTTTACAGCCTCAGCCACGGAAACACTCTGATTAACCAGCAGGAAGACGGATATTGACCAGCAGAGGAGGCGCTGCCGGACTCGATCTGAAGGAGACACGACGCAGACGAGTGTTTGTGGAGCGACTTTCTGTTTACTGTTCCAGAATAATGTGAAGATCTGACGAATTATTATTTAAAGCACCTCGCTCTCTGAACGCACAGTCAGTATAATTATAACACACACACACACACACACACACACACACACACACACACACACACACACACACACACACACACACACACACACACACACACACGATAAACCCTCACCTGGTCCGAGCCTCTGGTTGCTGTGTTGCTCCTGCTGTTGCTGCTGTCTGCGCGCTAACTTCTTCATCTGTAGGTAAATAAACACAAGAACAAGATTAGCATGTCGCTAACGCTAAACAAACGATACACAGATGTCAACCTCCTCTGAATAAATCCTCTTAAAGAGATAAAATAATTAACTAAACTTTGAGGTGTGTGTGAAAAAGGTCAAAAGGTTGAGTTAATCCTCGGTCATTGAAGTTTTTGTCAAACAAACTGGAGGAAACTCTGTGTGTGTGTGTGTGTGTGAAGACAAAAACACAGAACAAACAATCGATTAAAGGTCACATATTCTGCTAAACACACTTCTCCATGTTCCTCTAACTCTAACATGTCTCTAGTCTGTCTACAAACCCCAAAATTATGACAAAAGTCCATCCTCTCCCTCTTTTGCCTGCTCCACTTTTCAGAAAATGTGTGCTCAAACAGGCCGTTTGGAGATTTTCCCTTCATGACATCACAAAGGGCAGTAGCCCCTCCCCCAGGTGTGACACTCCCACAGCTAGGTGTTTGTTCTGCCCTCTGAGTCTGCCTTCTCACCGTAAACAATAGGACATGGAGCGAGAAAGCCTGAGAAACTCAAGCCCTTCCAGAGAGGGGGTGTGGTCAGACACAGCTCATTTACATATTTAAAGGTACAGACACAGAAACAGCCTGTTCTGAGCAGGGCTGAAATAGAGGGGTTTATAGACATGATCAAATACAGGATCAGAGTGGATTTAGAACAAGAAACTTCACACACATGTTTTGAGGAGCTCTGAGACTTATTTACACTGATGAAGGAGTGTATGTGACCTTTAAAAGAGAAAATCGATGCACCGACCCTGTGTAGAAGAATCAGCGCATATTGTGTCACTCTGTACACTTTATGACTGACTCTGATAGACTGAGATCTGACAGCAGTTAGCGGCTTGTTGGATATTAACACTTTGTTCACATTATTCTCACAAATGCCACCAAGCCGACCAAACATCAGATTATCAGTTCTTGATCCTCTGAAGATTAACTGATGAAGAACTGGTTTTGAATAACTAAACCCTTTGGCAAAAAAAAGAACGCTTCAAAACAACAAGACCCCTCAATCACATGTGATCTGGATCTGCGTAACAACATCAAATCTGCCTGTCATGTAATCCCCTGGAACACATCACGTGGAACTTTACGAGAAGTCTTCTCAGGTGAAAAGAAAATGGAGACTTGATACAGCGAATCATGTGACTTCTAAGTGTTTCATTACTGCTTAAAAAAAAACCTTAAAACACAGAAAAAGCTGATTGAAGGCAACATGTGAAGTGTTGGGGTTTAAAGTGTGAATGTTGGATTCCACCACCACAGCTCCCTGCGGAGGGTTTCCAGGGCAGTTTAGGGCTGACCCCGACATGGACTGAGTAAACTGTGAGCCTAAATCCTCAGGAAGACGTTCTGGGGTGGACTGTTAAACAGAATCCAAATCGATTACGCGAGACCAACAGGTGAATCTGGACTCAGGGTCTGGAAGGTAGGACCCTGTAGTCTATGACTTAAGAGCACTAAAGCCTGATTTACACTTCTGCATTCACAACATTTCCAGCAGAAGGAAGAGCGCTACAAATCAGACTAAATAAGCGCTGCTCAATATTTATCAGCTCCGACTCCACATAGCCAATCGATTCAGTCGCCATGGTTTCCTGAGCACAAACAAGCAGAGAAAACAATGGATTGCAACAAGCTCTAAAAAGCTGTTTTAACATCGTCATCATCATCATTCCTGATCACGTGTCCCAGATAATATCGAAGCTCGCTCTTGATTGATGTGACTCCTTTTTTACAGATTATTTTCCTTTGCAGAGAAAAAGCTCGTCTGTTTCTTCTGATGGGAGGCTTGAAACAGGAAGCTAAGGTAGCGCCCAATCAGTGTTTTATTTAAATGCAGATTACTTTTACAGATTTACACCTTCACCAGAATGCGTGATGGGAAATCTTCTTTTCCTACTTTTTTGGTAGAAAGTCGACAGGTGTCTGACTCATCCTTGGATTTGTAGTCCTGTGTTTATCGATGCCAGTGTGGATTCTCTTTTTGGATGAGAACAGTTGAATTTAGTCCTTAAGACTGTAAGACAGCTGAAATCTCCTCTAAAGACAGAAAATCAGCGACTGGCAGCCACTTAAAGCATCGATTCCCCCGAGGACGGAGCATGATGCAGATAATTTCCCAACAAAATCTCTCTAAATGCTTTTCCCTCTGACTGTCCAGCCACCGCGTCCAGCTGAGAAGAGAGAGGAGATGATGTATTTATACTGACCAATCACAGGCCTCGATGGAAAAATGATTCAGCGCCAAGACTGCAGAGGCACAGGTGCACCGCGACGCACTGAACGAGCAAATCAAATCCAAATGTTGCTCTGGTTAGAAAAGTTACGACAGGAAAGTATCGGGGTAAAGCCGTGGGGACAGACTCCTCCCCCGCTTGTGTTTCAATAAGAAGAGAATGGTCTGTGGTCATCTGAACTCCAGCACGCCATCCCCTCCAGCACAATCATTAAAACACAGAATGAGGAAATATGTTGGGAGGAACTGACCTTCGCCCTCTGGTTCTGGAACCAGACCTGGACCACTCGAACACTGAGTCCGGTCTCTGCAGCCAGAGTCTCTCTCACCTGCAAGTCAGAGCACGGCGTACGTTAAGCAGACGTTTGAAACACAGTGCTGTCTTTCCCTACACGCAGAGCACGCCGCCTCCTCATCTACAGCGGTCTATGGTAACGCGTTATAAAGTCATCCGTCAGAGTACTCAGATTACTTTTTTTGTCACTTTTTCCATAAAAGTTACCTGGCGCAAAAAAAAAATGCTGCGTCTGTTGGTGCCTCAAAAGAAAAGAAAAGAAACCGCTGATCTGCAGTTTCCGTTTCTCTTCCTCTGAGGTCGCTGCACATGAGCAGAAGGTCAGCTTCAGATGTGTCAGCGTGCGTGCACAGCAAGCTAATTCAGCCAATAAGACGGCGGAGAGGGCGGCGTTTACTTTGTGGAAATGTTCACATTATAATTTAAGATTACACTTAGACTCTTTCTCTGTTGTTGCTAGGCAGAAAATACTTTACTTCCAGCTCTGTGATTGGTGGTCTGGGTTTAAAACAACACAGGGTCTAGTAAACGTAATCCAGTGAGAGAATGAGAGTCTCATCGACCAATCACATGGTGAGTATGGATTTACCTTCCTGCAGGGTTTGGAGGAGACCTCGAAGGAGGCCTTGAAGGCTCTCCTCTGCTGGGTGGTCAGGATGGTGCGGGGGCGTTTGGGCCGGCGGGGGTCTTTACTGTCATCACTGCCTTTAGCTGCAGGTCCTTTATCCAACTTCACATCCACATCCTCGTCCTCGCTCTTATCTGTCAACACAGACATTTGATGGGTTTAGATCTCCCCGTGCATTCACAGAGGGTAACTTTCATCTGGGAATGAGCGTTCATCTAGAGAGTTTTAGGTTATGCAGATGTTGGATATGTTTACCCGAGTCGGAGCAGCCCACGCTGGCCGTGCTGAGCAGGTCCTTCTCCCTCTCGTAGTCGCTCTTGCACAGCAGCTGGCCGTCCTTCAGGACAAACTGGTCTCCTTTGAGCAGCTGGCGCTCGCACACGCAGCAGCAGAAGCAGCTCAGGTGATAAACGCTCTCCAGAGCTCGAATCACCAACTCGGTGGGGGCGATCTTCTCCAGACAGCCGCTGCACTTTGTGGCAAACAACCTGAGGACACAGAGAAAACAAGATTGTGATTCAAAAGGGGAAACTTTCTTCAGCAAAACTCTAGAAATCCTCGATAGAAAGACACAAGAAATCTTGATAATTCTCCTGGTTGTTGCAAACGTTCTCTACTTTTACTGATGCGAGGCCGTTACACTGAATGTGACAAGTCGTTGTATCCAGCGTAACGTCTACATATCCAGTGTGAAGCCCTCAGTTGGCTGTTTCAGCGGTCGCCATCTTGGATTTTAAGAGCCTGACTTGACCATATCTACCCACGAATGGATGGTGAGAGCCGGTGTTTGTGTCTGCAGAATTTCACCAACATGACCCACTTTTGTATTTTATAGCCTTTTCCCATTAACTCCACCTTATTTTCCCTTCAGAGACCTTGGTTGAAAATCACCAGAGAGGATCGTCCTGAGAGAACAGATTGAAGCGTCCTCGTTAGAAATGTTCACAAAAAAAAAATCAACAAATAGAGCTGGAGACGTTTCAAGTCGCTGAAGGAACACTGAATTGGCAGGAACGCTCCGTCCTCAGAGACAGAAAGAAAAAGAAAACCATGCAGCAACATCTTCACACAGCAGACGGCACGCTGCGATGACATCACAGCAGAACCAGAAACGATCCAGATGTGTTTGAGGAAAATGAGCGTAAACGTTGTTTAGCGCTCGAATTTAACCCTCTGTTTGATGTCCGAACAGGCAAACAGGACTGTCAGTCATATTTTCAAACTGTTCTTTGTCAAATAAAAGATTTATTCCCCATTATTTATCCTTCAAAGATGCCATCAAATAAACCACAAGTCCATTAATTTAAGCGTAGATTTATACCACGATCCGGAGGGACAACATTAACAGAAAATGTACCGGGGGGGGGGGAGGCTCAACCCGAAGCATTTCAGAATTTGGGGCCAAATGTAGAAACATCATGAACCACTGGACGATCTGTGACGTCATCCCTGATTGAACTTCATACCTATGCTAGTTAAGAGCAAGGAGAGCTATGTGCTCGGCCAATCACATTTCAGCTCATTCCCAACACCCAGCAGAGTGAGGCAGACTGACTGAGGGATGGAGGAGAGACCGGTGGAGGGGCAGAGGAGGAAGGAGGTGACTGTAAGGCAGGTACAGAAAGGGCTCAATGTTTGGACAGCTGCACTGCTCCTCCTCCTCCTCATCCCTTTCCTTCTCCCTCTCCTCCTCCCTCTCTCTCTATTCTCCTCCTCATCCCTTTCCTTCTCCCTCTCCTCCTCCCTCTCTCTCTCTTCTCCTCCTCATCCCTTTCCTTCTCCCTCTCCTCCTCCCTCTCTCTCTCTTCTCCTCCTCCGTTCAGCAGCCCTTTCTCTCTGCTGAAACTTTTGGAGGAATCAGAGAGTTTGATTTGCAGTTTTGTAGTTTCAATCACCTTGCATTGCACACTTTCTGCTGCTCTATGACAAAATAGATTTGATTATGTACGGTGGCTGACAAGGGCAACCGAACTGCACGGGCTGGAATTATTTGCACGAGGAAACTCTGAAATGCAGCAACATAAAAACAAATGCAGAAGCTCAAAACAAACACTAAGATTTAACGTCACTGCAGATTTAAAAAACAAAAAGATGCTGCAAAAAGCGGAAACAGCAGCGTTAAGAACAAACGCGCTGCAGAAACATAAACAATGCAAAGTCCAAAACACACAAACACAGAACGAGTGCAAAAGAAAAACGCTGCAAATCCAATCATCTGAACAGAAGTGCTCCAGGCCTGTAGGGAGCGCTCTGCATTTGTTTTCCTTTCCTTTGTGTCTGAACTTTCTGCACATTTTTAAATGCAAATAATTCCAGCGGCTGCAGTTTCTCTCGTCTGTCACCGTTGCTATGCGCTCATTGGCAGGTGACATGCAGCCATTTGTAGTTAAATGCTTTTTGCAGTTGCACAGTCAGCAGGTATTTAATGCATGCTAGGATTTATTCATCTGTACAGGTTTTTGTTCTCTCAGTAGATGACACTGGTCCTTAAAAACATTATAATCTGTGTTATAAACATCAACTCAGCTTTCCTCACATCTCGTTCTCGTAAACAGCCTGTGGTTTGTTCAGTCTTCTTCTCTTTGGTCACACTGCGTGCTGGTCAGCTGTGTCTTTTTTTTTTTTAAATGACGCAAAATGTTTGAATGCCTGAAAACTCACCGACACATGGCCAACACATGGCTGACACAGAGGGATCACAATGCCAAAAGAATACAGCGTAACGTCAAGATGTTGTGAATTATTGTTACTTCAAATATAATCTCAGGATTTATCCATCTGCTCTTTTCTTTAAGGACACACAGGACCCATTAATATGAAAGCAGCACTAGAATGACGGAGGACGAGCGCAGCCATGAGAAAACAACAGAAACATGACGGATGAGATCAGAGAGCTGACAGAGTTTTAAAGCGAGGCCTCAGGACTTCAGTCAGAGTCTGTTAAGGAAGAAACACAAACATGAACACAGAGGAGGACGCAGATGACTTCAAATGCAAATGACCACATCCACTCAGGAGTTTTCTGCAGCAACAGGGGAGTAAAGAGAAGGGGAAACTCAGGTTCACAGCCGACAATGAATTTACAGTTCATCTTTATTAAAATTATATAAACTGAAGGGTTAACATGCTCTCTCTGTCCCTCTGCCCGCCACACACACAAACACACACACACACACGCCTCAGCTCCAGCTCTCAGCCTGTCGTTAGGGTGACTGAAAGCTAGACTGAGACAGCATTTCCAGCATGGAGACCGCCATCGGTGGGACTCCAGCGCCCCCTGCAGGAACAGACGGGTGTCTTCAGGCTTGGTCAGCCCCCCACTAACTTTTCAATCTCATCTCGTCAATGGAAACAAAACGTTTGTGTCATCACAAATAGAGGGATTTTAAGGTCGTTTAACGTCTCGTCTTGGTAAATCTTAAGGTAAAAATCATCTTACTTAAAGGGCCCGGTCACTTTTTCTTAGTTCAACCTGTTACTAAGGCTTTCAAACGATCTTTACATCCTGGTCTGCTGCTGCTGGAGTGGAACACGTGTGGGGTCTGAAATCTGCCTCTTCAAGGAGCAGAGAGTCCGGCTTTAGACTTTTGGTCTTATTTACTTTCAACTCTTGTTTGGTGCGGCTCTCAGTGTTTGTTCCAGTGGAGGATTCATGTGGCTCTCTTCACTGAGAACCTGGACCACCACTGCTGGAAGGGGGGCAGGGGCGGGGGGGGGGGAGGGGGTGTCTTTGGAGGAGCCTCCTTGACCCCCTGGCCCTGTGCCCTGTGCTCCACACGGCTCCAGCAGCTTAACAAGCATAAAGAGGTTCAGGATTAAAGAGGATAAGAGGAGAGGAGAAAGGACCAAGCCGTAAAAACAGACTGTGTGTGTTCCTCCACTGTTCTCCTGTTTGCTCTCTCTCCTCGGGGAGCCAAATGACCTGAAGGAGGAGTCTGGGAGGGGGGTGCGCGGAGGCTTCGGGTGGCAGCTTGTTGGAGTTTTAATTAGTAGGAGTAATCAAAGGATGATTGTTGAAGAGGCAGGGGGAAATAAAAGCAGGATTCTCCGAGTGGGGATGAGCTGTTTGCTCAGCCAAAAGCTCAAGAAGTCAGAGCGAGGCGCCGAGAGTCTCTGAGGAATCCCCTCCGACATGTCGGTCAGCAGAAAATGATCCCTGCAGTCTATTAAACACACTCTCTAATCACCTTCTGGAGAGCCAGGTCAGAGGAGGGGGGGGGAGTAAAGGTGCAGCATCACCTTCATATGAACTATGTCGTACACGTGGACAGAAGTCTGCAGAAACCAGGTGAAAAACGTGCTGAGAGCTTTCACAAAGTTCAAACTTGACAAGCTCGCTGCAGGGATTCATCTCCATTCAGGCCTGCACAGCGTCAGTGCACATTGATGTTTGACAACGTGTTGGCCCTCCCGCCATCAGGGCCTGCTATTGTGTTTTTGCCCTTCTGTCTCCTCATCCCTCTCCTCCTCCTCATCCCTTTCCTTCTCTCTCTCCTCCTCCTCCTAGTAGTTTTTCCCCAGGTGTAGGTCACTTAGGATCTGGCAGACGACCTCTCACTCTCTCTCATTCACTCCCAGCGTCACACGTCCCTTCAGGTTCAGTGAGGGCCGGAGCTGATCCCAGCTGTCATCGGGCGAGAGAGGCGGGGTTACAACCTGGACTGGTCGCTCGCTGACATACAGAGACAGACAACAAGCCACACTCACATTCACACCTATGGTCACATTAGAGTCTCCAGTTAACCTAACGAGCATGTCTTTGGACTGTGGGAGGAAGCCGGAGTACCCGGAGAGAACCCACACATGCACGAGGAGAACATGCAAACTCCACACAGAGAGGCTCCTGTCAGACGGGGATTCAAACCAGGAACCTCCTCACTGTCAGCGCTGACCACTGCAGCAACGTGCAGCTGAAGAGGTGGATTTTAAATGATGTTACTTTAATGCATAAAATATTATGAATGTGCCTGCTCTCTCATATTTTATCAAAAGTCATGTTCCTATTCTGGAATATTTTCTTTCCTGATTCAGAACTCAGCAGAGAGCTGAATGCATGCTCCCTCCTGGACAGTAAACCTTCTATCATTCAGGTCCATGTTTGATCAGGTGGAGGTGATTGTGTTTTCATCGTTCCTGCAGAGCCTGAAAGTTTTGTAAAGAAGAGAGGGAGGAGGAGATAAAAGAGAGGGAGGGAGCCCGAGTTGGACTTGTTTTCTTTTGGCAACAAAGCAGAAGAAAAAACGGATGCCAAGAACCACACAGAGAGTCAGGCAGACAGAGAGAGAGAGAGAGAGAGAGAGAGAGTCATATGGAAAGAGAGAGAGACAGAGAGAGAGTCAGAAGGAGAGAGAGAGAGATAGAGAGAGGGGGGGCGATAGAGAGAGTCAGACGGAGAGAGAGAGAGAGAGTCAGAGGGATAGTGCTTTCACACTTGCAGAAGACTTCTGAAATCTCCTAAAATATCCACAAACAGCTGAATGTTTCTCCT